CATATTGTAATAATCAAATTATTGAAATTATTGATAATAAAGATGTCAGTATAATAATAACTGGATAGTAAATTTTCATTTTTTATAAGTATATTAAATTACAAATTTTATTAAAAAAAATTTCCGATATTTGTAAAATATTCTGGAAATCTGCTGCGCCATAACCGAAAAATTTCCAGGATTAAAAAAATTTACCGGTTTTATTAGATATTAACCGGAAAAACTGGGTAAATTAGAATAGATTTTTTATGTTGATTGTAGCTACTCAGTTAAATTTTTAAAATATTTATAAGAAAATCTAACATAAATTGTCAATTTTTATAAACTGATATTATTAATTTAAATTTTTTAAAAAAAATATATACTTTAAATTTTAAAGATTAAAATAAATATAAAATTATTATTTTAACATTTGTAATTAATGATTTATAAGCATTTAAATCTAAAAAATTAGTAGTTGCATTTTTTTTTTGCTTACTACTGTATAATAATAAATATAAAATTAATAAATAATTTAATATTTACTAGTAATAAAATTTACTATATTATTTAGAATTAATCATATAATATGATAGATTTTAAAAATCAAATATATTTATTATAATTTCTAATTATTCATATTATAATTTCAATATATTTTTAATATATTCATCAAAATATTTTTAATTTATTTCAAATAATAAGTTAAATTATAATATATTTTATATATTGATCAAAATCAAATAAATCAGATATGTAAAAAATTGACCTAAAATCAACCTAAAATCAACAAATTATTAAAAATTAGCCTAACCAATTAGTATATATAAAAAATCAGCTAAAAATCAGCTAAAATTTAACCTATCTTATTTATAACTGATTGATATATATTAAGAATTGATTAATATTTGACCTATTTTATTTATAACTAATTGACGTTTGATTTAATATATCAAAATTTAAAAGAAAATATATTGGTTACTGATATTTTGTAGAATTAATTAGAATTCTGAAATAACTCGCATAAATTTGCATATTTGACTTATATGATTGTGCATAATTATAAATTTTAATTACATATAATAAATAAGTACTTTTAAATTAAAGGTATATAGAATAATTTTGACTCAAAACTCGACTTGACTCAACTCATTAGAAATACTAGAATTAATAACTAAATTAATTTCTGAAAGATTTAATTCAGTTCAGATTATATGTTTAGAATGATAATTTTGAATCATTTTAATTGAACAATAATTTGAACTATTTCTAAAGAACGATTTTTTATTATTCTAATCAAATAATAAGTATAAAATTACTTAATTAAAATGATTATATTATTATAATTAAATAAAAATTAAAAATTATTCAATTAGAATGATTGTATCATTCCAATTAAATGATAACTAAAATCATTAATTAGAACAATTATACAGAGGGTTGCCAAAAGTCTCTGAACACCACTTTTTAGATGCGATTCAATATCGGCAATTTCATGTGATTTAGCAATTCTGTGGTCATATGACGTTTTGAACCTTGTTTATATGAATTGTACTTTAAAAATGTATTTCAAAATGGTGATGGTAGTTTTCAGGAGGATAATTCTCAGCCTCAAAATGCGAAGCAGGCGAAGAATTTTCATGCAGAAAATGATATGCATATTCTTTCTGATCTGCTCAAATATAGACTTCAGCCTAATCAAAAATCTTTAGGCTGATATCAAGGAAAGCATCCATAAAAGGAAAAAAATATCTTCTAATATTGCTGAACTAGAGCGGCATATTAATAAGTCATGGAGAGAAATTTCAATACATACTATCGAAAATTTGGTCAATAGTATATTACAACGAATTTAGGCTATTATTGAAGCAAATGGAGGCCCAACCAAGTACTGATTAATTAGTACGAAATTTATTTTATAAATTATTTTTAATAAATATTTAATAAATTATTTAATTAAATTTTAAAATTTTAAATGATTTATTGAGTCAAAAAGCGTTCAGAGACTTTTGGCGACCCTCTGTATTATTATAATAAATAATAAAATAAAAATTGTTTACTTGAAATAATTATATCATTTTAATTGAATGAAAACTATTATAAATAAAGAATAAATATTTTGTGAAATTAATTAATGGTAAATATTATTTTTATTCAATTATTTATATTTTAATAAATTTATAAAATCTTTTTAAATTAAACTTTCTAATAATTTTAGATTTATAAAAAACTTAAAACTTTTTAAAAAAAAATAATTTTATTTTAATGCTTTAAACAATTTATATCTATAAAGTATTAAAATACTGATATATAAATATATTTAAAAAAAATAGTAAAAAACATTTGTTAATATAAAAAACTTTTATTTATCCTATATTTTAATATTAAATTATATATAAAGAATAAAGAATTTATTTGTTTATTAACAAAATAATTGATCTTTTTAATAATTTATTTAATTTAAATATTATCATTAAAAGATTTGTTTATTTTTATATATTTCTATTATTATTAATATTACTATTATAACAATTTCTTATTATTATATCAACTTTTGTAATGTCTATCTTCATAATTAACTAATTATTTTCTTCCTTTGCTATTTTTTGTTTAAGAAATTATTTGAATAACTGTTCAATATATTTTGATCTTAAATATTTTGGACAAGATTATGAATAAAGAAAAGTGTCCAAAACCTGTCCAAAACTGTTCCATTGCCCAACACTTAAAATCGAGCGAGTTTTACATTATCGATTAATATTAGTATTTAAATACTCGACAAATAATTCAGCTACTCGATTCATATCAAGTAACGTATGCATCTTATTAATATTGGTAAATTGTTTTCTTAATCTTCTTAATTCAGATAATGTTATTGTGCGTGACGGAAGATTGACGTACTAAGCATCAAGAATCATTCAATTATTAAAGATAATATTAATAATCATATATTTTTAAAAGATCATATATAAAAGGATATTGGTTGATTTGCACGAAAAATCTTGACTGCGCCACCCCCAATATTATGTTTTTGGGCGTCCAGAACTTCATTGATTATATCTTGTGTAGTTTTTTCAAATTCGTATAAATAATTTGTCTCGCTTATTGGTTTCTAGATCAAAGATACAAAACATCAAAAATTATTCTTAAATCAATATTAAAAATAAATCAGTGACATACCGAAACGGTTGACAAATTGGGAGATATTAGTTTATTATTGATGACAGCGTTCCATATACCTTCGAAAGGAACTGCTGGATCATTATATAGCACTGTAAAGAGCGGTGAATCCCAACGATTTCGATCATCAGGTTCTTCGAATCGACTGACAAGTTCATCAAACCTAAAACGCATTTATATATAATGATTGGATTCAAATTAATTCAAGAGACAAATAATTGATATATTCTTCGAAATGACTAACACTGTTGCACCATAACCGTTTACTCCGCGTTTAGAGTTCCATTCTCTGGCAACCTCAACTGGAATTCCGCAATACACCTATAATAAATAAAAAAATTTTTTAAAATGATTCTCATGTAATTAAAAGGACAATTTGAAATCTTCACATACCACACAATGAGGTGTACCAACAGCGCGTGCAATGCAATACAATTGATATCGAAATCCTTTGATATAATTCATTCCATCAGCAATTATCAAGTCATCTTTCGATACTAACCGCTCAACTGCTGAAATTAGTGTTCCACGCGATTTCTTTTCCTCAATGCGTGTGTCTAAAGTTAGAAGGAAATAATGTTTAATTCGATTAAATGATCAAACTGAGACGAATGATGGGATTTATCATAATTACCCTTATAACTGTCTTTAGTTATTCCTAAAGACTCGTCATTTATTAAACTTACTGAATTAGTTTTCTTTTCATTGCTAAAGCGTTCTACAAAGTATTGCATAATTTGCTTTGCACGACACGTTTTTCCACTAGAGGGAATTCCACACAATATTATTAAAGGCATTTTTTTTTTTCCAAGTTAAATTTTATAAAAATTTTTTTTTATCGGATCAAAAAATTTTAAATTAATTTGTGTAACTATAACTCTCATTAATCATTTATACTAGGGAACGGAGAGTAGTAATGGGTTGGTTCGGTTAGGCTAGGTTCCGGTTCTGTAGAACCAGTTCTATTAATTAATTCGAACTGAACTGGGTTCTTTAGAACTGGTTCTAAAACTGATTCCGGTTCAATTAGAACCAGTTCTAAAAACTGATTTAAGCAATTTAATTAAAACTGGTTCTTTATAACAATAGATATAGATATTTTATATAAATCACATGAAAGCATTTTAAATTAATATACTATTTAATTTTGATAATTAATTTATACTATTCGGATGTGAGAAATTTTATTTTATTTATTTTATTGAAATTTATTAAATGGTCAAAAAAAAATTACATTACTCTTTCAAGTAAATAAACAATTTTTTATTTTCCTACTTCATTAACTATCCAGCTCTTTAAACATAAATATGAACATGCTATTTCTGGCAATAAATAATTACATGTTTTGCTAATTGTATTTCCAGCAACTGAAAATGCCTGTTCTAATGCAACACTTATTGATTGAATTATAAAATGATCTTGTACTATCCTGCTCACAATTGGATATTCTTTAGCATGTGCTTGCTACCATAAAAGAAGATCAGATTCTTCATCAATGGTTAATGTAAAATAATAGATATTATTGTTGAGAAAAGTAATGAAGTAAAATTAGTATTTCCTTCTTTTCATCAAAATATTGCAAATATTAATGAGTGGTATTAACAGTAATTGTTGTAGATGATTGAAATAAGTTAGAAAATGCTATTCATAACTTTTAAATTTGATTTAAATATATATGCGAGCATTTTGTAATGATTTACTTGAAAAAATAAAAGTTTAGTTTGAAAATCTAATATTACTGAAATGGTTGAAGTTTATCTATAATTTTTCAATATTCTTCAATTTTATCAAATATTGAAGATGCTATTTAACGTTAAATAAAATCTTCTTTTAGCATATAATCCTTTAGATTACTTCAAAAATATAATGAATATATCTATAGTAGGATAATGTGATGCTGATAAACGTTTCATAGTTCTCTTTAAAAGTTCAAGAGTAAAAAAGTATCATATTTATAAAATATAAAAAATTAATTTAAAATTCTTTAAAATCACTTTTAAATATAATATTAATTTAGCTTATTTAATTACAATCTAATCAGATAAAGTTCAGTAATGAATCGATAGTTAATAGCAAATAAAACTAATACTAGTTTAAGTTAATCTAAAGTTTCAACATATAATATATTAAATTTTAACAAATCTCTATATTAATAATAGATTTAAAGTAAGGTATATTTTTAAATTATATAAAAAATGAAGATCATCATAAAGATGAGTTGAATTTTGATTTTAATCATTAGTTAACATGTCTTGCTAATCAAATTATTAATTTCTTTAATCCTTTTCTTACTTCTAAATTTAAAACATATGTTGCATAATGATAGTATGAAAAAGTTATTAATATAAATTCAGAATCAAGAATTTCTTTTTCATAAACTAATATTATAACTTTATTATCTATTATAATCATAATAACTTTATTAAGAATATTGAACTCATTCAAAATATGTATAATTTTATTTGCGATATTTACTTTAGAATAATTAATAGTAAAAGGGATAATATTAAGAAGAAATTACAAAAATGCTAATTGAAAGCAATATAATAGATTGTAAGATCTAAAAAGATATCTTAATTCATTAGAAATCTACATATCTGCAATTAATGAATATTATCCTACAATTTAATTAAAATTATTGATAATTTTAGCTTGTCAGATAATAAATGTATTAATAGTCATATCTTTAACCTGATATCATTTAGAAATAATATAACATAAACAAAATAATTGACAAAATTTATAAATTATGAATTATCAACAATCGTAAAAGGTTGAAAGTCACAAACAAGCTAATTAACAAAGTAATTATTATGTTATTGTTATTCTTGTTAATTAAAAAGATCTATGATAAAAAAATATTCTGATATTTATTCATTCAATAATTGAATTGATACTAATTGGCTTTTTTAATTATATAAAATATTAGATAAATAAATATATGGTCTTACACTTCCAGTATTAAGCATTTTTAATGTCCAATTAATACAATTAGATTTAGACATATAAAATATTTAATTGGACATATATTCAATTAGATGTCAAATTAGAAGTTTATATACCTAATTGTCTAAATAATTTAATACTGTATATTTCATTTTAGACTAATTAAATATCTGTAAACTTTAGAAAAGGTAAAATTATATTAAAGTTTATAAAAATGTAAAACTATATCAAAACCTTGATAAAAAATTAGCAAAACTAAAGTTTAAACTTTTGTTAAAACTAAAATAAGTTTAGACAAGCAACCTTAAATATAAGTAATAGTAACTAAATTTAACCTTAAAATAATTTTACTAAATACTATCTAGATTTATTATTAAAGTGATCATTTTTAGTTATAGGATTATTTTTATCATATTATATTAGGATTACTATAACTTTTATTTATTATTAAAAAGACTTAATAATAAAATAACTTTATAAAATTTATATTTTAAAAATTACTATCAATTATATAGAACTTTAAAAAGTAGATAAATATTATGTTTATATTATTAAATTTATTTAGAAATTAAATCTAACTTCTAATTTAAGTGATAGTTTAATTAAATTAATTTTGATAATATAATAATTTTAATATATGCATCTAATGAAACTTTTTGGTTTTTTAAATTCTATAATTGTGATAAATTTCATAGAGAAGATTA